TTTTTTTGTTTTGTTCTGGTTTGGTTTAGGGTTTCTTTTGTGGTTGTTTTTTAATTCTCTTTCTTTGGATTTTTACTGTGTCAGAAGTAATCTGAGTGTGTAATTTGACATGGGAAGAATCACTAAAAATTTTTTTACTCAGAGTCCAGTTGCATAACCCCTTGAAACTTTATGTTGCTAGGCTAGTAAGACTATGCTAAGTGAAAATTATTCTTGTGATTTTATTCTTGTGCCAGACCACGTTGTTTACTCTGCTCTCAACCTACATTTCTGAGTCTGAGCTGAAAACATTTCATGGGAACAGCTGTGATTGTCATCTTCCAACTTTTATTGGGACAAAACAAGTCTTTATAACGGAAAATTTTACTGTAATTTTTAAGGTGTCTCCTCAAATATGTGTGAATTGATAAGCAAATGAGGTATTTCAAAGAAGTGTCTTTGCATTTTTAATTTTTCCTGCTGTCTTCTTTCACCCTTGCTATACATGCTTACAAAGGATACAATATGATATGGTTTTTGGCAATTTTTATTCTGAGCTAATACACTTTTTTCATATTTCAGGCATATGATGAAGTTTAGTCTTAAATTTAAATATTTCATACTATGAACTTTCCCACACCCCAAACAGAGAATCTAGAAACAAATGTATTATTATTAGGGTCTGAATCCTCTATATATCTTGTCCATTTTAAGTTCATATGCTGCGCTAGCTGTATTTGGACTGCAGACATTCTCCTATTAGCTCTCACTTTAAAGAAGGTGAAGTCTTATCCTCGTACTCACCTTTTCATTAGAGGAGTATTTCTGTAAAAATGTCTCTACACAAGAATAGTTTGCAGTAGCTGTGGAAGGAAGGGGGCTGGAGTAGTAATTTCAAAAGTATTTTGTCAGACATTTTATTTGAGTGCAGATGAAAAGTATTACATACATTACATTACATTAAAGTACAGCACAGAGAACCGAACAGCAACTTCAAAACGGATAATTCTATAACAGGATGAAATGTGAATAAATTAATTCCATTCACTATTTCAGAATTCTACTTAAACTTTAGAAAGACAATGTAGAGGCACATAAGGGAAGATAGAAATGTCTTATGCTTGTGCCAAGATACTCAAATGTTACAATCAAAATGAGTTATTTTAGTGTCACATTAAAAAAATATTTTATGGAGCCATAATGTGCAAAAACCACTTCTATCTGGATAGTGGTAAACCATCTCTATTTCAGATGTTCCTGTACCCCTTGAGGGGACAGCTTGACTGTTTATTGAAGCAGCAGCCTAATTTCTACAGGGTTAAACTCTTTAAAACAAATAAATACAAGCTGAGTGTATTTAAGGTGCACTAGCAATAAATTCAATTTTCCATTATATATTAAGAGCATAATTAACAGTAGTTTAATAGTTGTGACTTCAGCTTCTCAAGAGTCCCAACAAGAAGTGCATACCTAGTAGCAGATGGTGTGAGCCCTCTTGAATGACAAAGGTAGTGGTACTCTTCAGAAGTCCAATTTGCAGTATCTCCCAGTCTGATTTTTTTTCTTTATTAGCTTTGCGAGTTATCAAAATTCACTATTAGTATGAATACCTGAGTAGGTGCTGGTGTATATAAACAAGCAAAACTGGGGTGTTCTTGCATTTAAAAGATAATACTGCAGCAATTTTTATGATGCCCTCAAGAGAATTAAGTGCAGAAATATGAGATGCTGATTTTAAGTGAATTTCACTTTTTTATTTTAATTACACTTCTGTTATTTTAACTGCATTTATTGATGTTACCAAGGAGAGTTGCAAAAGTGCTGAAAGACTGATACCATAGCTGGTAACATATTACATCTTACTTTTTTGGCAGTTTTTATTGCAGTGGAAGGTTCCCATATAGATTGTTGCTGTGCTTAATGAACTGTGCTGTGGAGAGTTTTTCTTGAACTCTGTGCTGCTGTTGTTAAGGGAGATCAAAAATAGTTGTCAGTTCTCAATCAAAATTGCCCTCATGTTAATAAGCACAACTGTTTGTGCAGTTTAATTGTGTTTGCTATCAGAGTGCCTAACAGCTTAGGTCACAGTCAGTGTCAAGAAACTGACAACATTAATTGTGGAGATAATTTGTGTCAAACCTTAATTAGCAAGCTTTATAAAGATAAAGGCAACAAATACTACTTTTCATTTTTTGCTTCTGCTGGGTTATGATTTCACATACCCTTACACTAATGGTGGTTGCTTTATATGTAACAAGATGAACATGTTGATTGAGTAATAAAAAGAGGGATTGCACAATACTTACCTGTCTCCATGGCAGATAGTTTTATAAAATTTTTATGTTCTAATAATTATTTATCTTCTCTGAAATCATATGATACCTGAAAAATAAATTTAATGGACTTAAATTTAATGTATTTAATTCCAGTATTACATATAGGAATAGAGTTGTGGCAATGTTTTTTTATAGGAATTACTTATTTATGTAAAAAGAACCTTTAACCCCATACATACCGTATTTTCTTTCAGCTAGGTTATGGTCTAAGTGAAACACAAAGATCACCCCAATTCTCTTCTATACTGGACTGTGAAGCTTTTGTACTGATGATCATACAAGAAAGTGGATTTACACAACCTTTAAACCTCATTTTCCTTGGGAAATGTCCACAAGTTGAAAATTGCATCATTATGTACAGCTGCCCTTGTTTTCTGCGTCTAATGCTATGTCTCTAATGGTTAACAAACAACAGCTTTACTAATTGTTGGCCCAGCAAAAATTCACATAGAATGGCAAAAATACTGTTGTTCAGATAGCTGGAGTCATGTTAAGTATTCAGCCCTATTTCTGAAGCTCTGTGATGTAGTAAATAATGCTCTGCAGAAGCTAGAATGCAGTTTTTTTAAGGAGTCATGGCAGTCCTATAGTCTTTTACCAGATATTGGACAGTTCTACATGAAGAAATTGCTGAAAAACTGGTTGTACCTCTTACGGCAGTTGAGTTTGGTGAAAGATTTTTAGTTTTATTTATTGCTACATGTGCTATTTTCTGCCTATGACCTACTATACGTAGTTACAGTGTGCTGTTGGACTTTGTCATGAAGTCTTTCTCTTTCATTGGCTTGAGTTCTAACAGTGAACTCACAAAATGTCAAAAAAAAAAAAAAAGAGAACGGCAGCGAGTCATTTTTCACTTGGTGGCCCACGATCACAGCTTGTGCCACGGAATGTCAGTTTATCAGATTCAGTCAGGTCTCTTCATGTATCACAGTGCTGAGTTAAAACATACATAGAAAGGCTTCAAAGAGAACAGTTTTGTTGAAACCCAGATGCTCATCATCAGAATATATTTTTGTCTTTTTTGTGGCTGGGGAACCTGTGGCTTAGGAAATAATTTCTATTTTTTCGCTTAAAATGTTTTGGCATTAGTTGTGGCATTTGGCTATAGTTTAGGCCATTTTTGACATCAGAGAAATTCTTTCATAATTTCCCCATGGCAATAGTGGTACATTGTTTTGCTGAGATGTGCTCTTGCATTTGGGTTTATGTACATTTTCACCAGGAAAACTAGCAGAGTGGCACTTCTAGGACCTTTGAGCAATCTGGAATGTTAAAAAGGAACACATTTTCATGACATTTCTATTAAAGAAAAAGCATGCAGATTTTCAGGAGCATTATTTTTTTTAAAAATGCCCCTTTTTACATTAAGAGTAGGGTAAAAAGCTCCCCTAATTGCATTTTGAAAAATGGCGCCTTGGCATTTTAAACTATTTCAGGATTTCTTCTAGTCTTGCATACATGCATGACAGTAGTCTGCTGAGTTTCTTACATTTAAATAAACATGCTGACAGGCAATGGTGCCTATGGAAAGAACAGTTTTGCAGAATAAGGGGTTAGACATCAGAACCAAAGAACAGAAACATGGAAATGAAAACTAGTACAGGTACATACCTGCCTGAACTAAGAGAGGAAAGTGAAGAAAAGGGAAGAGGTAGGAAACATAAAGGAGCTGACTGCTGATGTGTGAAGATGGGAACAAAACTGAATTGCAACAAATGGTACAAAGCAACTACTATGGAGGATGGCTTCATAGCAAAGACCTGAGTTTTTTACCACTTACTGTCCCTAAGTTCTCACATCATATCATTTAAATCATTATCTGAAGGTGTATTGTATCTTTAGAAATTCTTTTGCTAAGGAACATAATTAGGTAAAGATTTACAGGAATTTTCCAATGTTTTTGTTCTCTATTTAGGTGTAATCTTACAGATTAGGATATGTGTTGCTATAAACTTGAAAATTTTGTCTCACCACAAGTAAAATAATAATTTCAATTTGTTGTAAAATAAATAAAGGGAAGAAGAATAATGAATTAAAATGCCTAGTCATTCTTTCAAAATGGTTTCTCCATTTCTCTCTCTCTCTTATTGTTGCAGTGGTTGGATCTTTTTTTAGTTCTCCTTTCTGACATAGTAGAATTTAGGAATGAGCAGGAGCTATGCACAAAACTGTACTCAAGCATAAATCTCTCTTCTGTTACAGTCCTTTTTGCCTGGCCTCTTAATACATAGTAATTTACCTCTACCATGCAAAATTACAAATGCTTTCTCCTAAATGTCACTGATTTTAATATATCAAAGGTGAGCGTCCTCTTTTCATGACACCCTGTGATCATAGCATCAAGTAGCAAATCATTATATTATTCCAGCTGATTGATGAGCTCATTTTGCAACAGAATTCAAATTGGATTTTTTTATTTATAATGGTGATAAAATATAATGTGTGATCTTGCTATTCCAATGCCATCAGATTTTGGTTTTAATATAAATTTCCCTAGTAAAATCTATAAGTACTTTCCTGACCTTTTAGGGTTTCTTTTATAATGCTTTTTCTTACAAGTGAATGATAACACTGGAGAAACAAAGCATTTCCTTCTTTTTAAATTTTGAATTCTTCATGTGACCTTTTTAAAATTTATATTTACTGCTTGGATTAATTTGGTTAATTTTTTGTTCGTTTCAGCACCACCAAAGTTTACAAGAACACCCGTTGACCAGACAGGGGTTTCAGGAGGAGTCGCCTCATTCATCTGTCAAGCCACAGGAGATCCGAGACCTAAAATTGTCTGGAACAAAAAAGGAAAGAAAGTCAGCAATCAGAGATTTGAGGTATTAGGTCCATTGTTCTGTTCCTCTGAAAAACATTTTATTCCAACCTTGTTTTTAATCCCACTATGTGTGCTTTATTAGCAGTGATTTAGCAAAATAGAATTGACCATCAGGGACAGTTTGGTCCGAATAGTCTCAAGAAGTTTCTAATTTTGAAAACTGGTAATGCATAGAACCATTAAAGAGAAAACTGCTACTTTCTAAGCTAGCATGGTTGAACTGAGGAGCTCTGTAGTGCCTCTGTTCAGTTTGTTGTCTCATGAAGTAGCTGGGGCCATTAGTTGAGCTGTGACTGCTGTCTCCAAGGAGCAAACCACCTCCTTTTGTGACAAGGTGCTTTGAGCAGGCCTAGTCTTCGCTTGCTTCTGCTGCCACAATTCCTTACCCCTGTTGAGGAAAGAGATGAAAGGGGTGTTGTAGTTCCTGCTGCTGCTTGCTTTTGATTCTTTTCTTAACAATAAATTAAGAAAAGGCTTGGAGAAAGATAGTTCTCTCCACAACCTTCAGTTAAAGAAAACAGTGAAAATTATGTGCTCAAAGGATTCTGGTTATTTGGGGGAAATAAGAAAACAGGTATTATTCCCTCCTGTAATGGCAAGAATAATTAATGTCAAGTACAGACTGACCTCTAACATGAAGAAAAAATTCAGAAAATGGGGGAAGGCTTTTAGAAGAGATATCAAAACTGGCACAAAGAGTGTATAATTGTCTCTTATATGTTTTTAGTGTTGGATAAGAGACTTCTGTTTGCTTAAAAGCAACTGTTCAAAGATTAATAATTTGTGTATAAAACAGTTGGGACATGCATTTTATGAGCAAATGATCCAACATATAGTAATTAACAACCGAGTGAATATCAAAGTCCTCTAAATTAATCAGCATTTGTAAAGATTGCTTGACCCGGACTTCATGTCAGATTTTTTTTGAAGAACTGCATTTCATCTATAAACGAAATTTATTTTTTTGATTTTAGGTTCAATAAATATCTAAAGACATTGGAATTTGCTCATTAACTATTATAATTTCTGGCTTGTGTATTTACTTCAACATGAAAAACAAAATTATTCATTTAAATGTTACCTCCAAGTACCAAAAACCTTTTGCACTTTGCAGAGTATATGCAGGGATGTAATTGGCTAGTGGGATTAACATAGAAGTTTTATCATAAATTCTACATGATTTGTCTTCTGCTGTTCACAGAACTTTCACTCAAAATGAATTCTAAACAGTATATCTAAAAGTGCATGTGTATGTTTACTTTGTGTTATGCTGCAATATGTCATGGCTTATTTCCTAATATATTGCTTTCTAGGTACCTGCGTACCTGTTTTTAGGGAGAATAAGTGAAAATAAAGTAGTTTTATTTCCATAAAAATTATTTGAATGTAACTATAAAAACACCTTAAAATGTTTTAAAAATGTCTTTAGTGACTGTTGAACAAACAGCCGAGTATAGCCAAGTAAAACGGAATGTATTTCAAAGAAATAGATGACACTTGCCAAGTGTTTTATAATTTTTATCATGTCCACTGAGCTGAGCAGTTACAAAGTGTGCATACGAAATCATTATTTTAAGCAGCTTTTCTTCCTGTTCAAAACAAGGCCATTAATTCATGCCATAGACTCTCTAAATAAGAAAAGAAAAACAGTAGAAATGAGATTCAAAAAAGACATATGAAGCATTCAGGCAACAAGAAATGTCTGAGATTTGCAGCTCAACCAATATTTAGTTTTAGAATATTTAGTTTGATTTCTTTTTATCTTCCTTCACATTAATATTTTGTATATTTCTCTGAGTTACTTAAAGATGAAAGACCTCAAAATGTTTCACCTGGACATCGTCATGTAGTAAATACAGCTGGAAAGGACTCTTGGTCCATCTTGTCCACACGCTTTCCCAGGGGTGCTGGGCATTACTTTTTTATAATTTAATAAACTTGGACAGTCTCCTACAGGATTTCATTAAATTTGTCATGATTATTTGTCCCCCATATGAAACCAGAACTCTTTTTCTGGAACTTGGTGTATGTAGCAACTGGGGAACAAATTTATTTTCTCTCTCTTGTCTGTTTATGTTTGAAGACTATTGTCATTGAAATTTCTTGCTCACCAGCTAATTCTCCCAATTTACTGAGAATAGCACTGTATTATTATGATTATTTATATTATGTACTATTATTATTATTATATGTATATATTAAATTATGATATACAGTAAGTCCTTGAGGGTCTTCTCTATTAATCTTCCAGCTTTTATTTATATTGTAGATATAGACTCTGAATGGGGACTCTTTTTTTCTTCTCTTACTTTAAATTAATTTAGATAATAGAAATTACAAAAACCTACTTTAATTTGCTGAGAAGTCCTTCTCAGAGAAACTTAAAAGGAACAGAAGAGGGAAAAATAAAAGTTAAAAATTACATCATTCTACCCTGCATGCAGAACATCTTTTATTAAATTATCTATCTCACAAAAGAAATAAAATCTCATTCAAGAGATGGGGAAGAGTTAGGAATTAACTAGCTGTGATATGCAGGAAAGAGGAGAACTCATCACATGAAAAATAAATCCATTTTACGATACATATTTTTGAGACACCAGACTTGAAACTTAATCTCTGCAGTATTTTCCCAATCCAATCTGCTGCAGTTGTTTTCAGTGTCTGTCCAGATACATTTATTCAGCATTTAGGTTTAAACAATAGCAATTACTCCTTTTTCAGTATGTCTGAGACGTACTTAAAATTTTGGATCCTGTGCTCCCATTTTTTTATCTATAAATTGTTAGTGTGACTGCTTAAAGACTGAAATTTTTCTCTCCCTCATAGATGTCAATTTATCAAGAATTCTCATTATTCCTTTAATTGTACTAACTAACAGCAAGTAGATATTTTGTCATGTCTAGATTTGTTTAAGGCAATGGCTTTACTGAAAGAACAAGAAAAAATAATACATCCTATGGGCTATCAAAAAAATTCAGTATCAAAAATCCCTGGGGTTTTATCTTACTTTCACCTCCTCAGCACTAAGCAGGAACTGAGAAATGCATACAATGAAAATAACGAGATGCAGGGCACGTTTACCATCATTTCTGACCCTGGACTTTATATCTCTCTTATTGTCAATATGTACAGAGATCTCATGGGTTGATTGTGTGAAAATGGGACAGAAAGACACAAGGACATGTGCAGATAGGCATATATGTAAATCACTTTGTGCATTATTATATAAATTATGGACAGATATTAATTATTTTGTAGAGAAAAACAAAAGGAAAAACTTGAAAATTTGAAAAATGAAACTTTGTTTATAAGTGCCATTTACCTGATAGTAGTACTGATACCTCTCAGTATTTTTTTTAAGTTTAAAAAATAGATTAAATAGATTATTGCTATTACTTAATTATTAAGAAGGTTTTTCCAGGATCTATGGAGCATAGCAGTACTTGCCAGTATTTGATGTGATTCTGACTGCAGATCATGAAGGAAATAAGATCTGTTCAGTGAATTTTCTAACAGAAATATTATTACTTCTTGTGTAAATATTGCTGTTTTAAAACTAAATCTTAAACATTTAGCCATATTATTTAGTCTCCTAAATGATCACTTGTTAGATAAATTTACTTACTTTGTGGGTTAAATACAAAGCTAAACTGAGTCATTCTGTTTGGTTCAGAAATTACAGACAGTTTTTAGCTTTGGAGACAAATGAGTGAGTGAGCTGCACTTTGTGAGTAAAGAGGGACTATAGCTGGCAGCAATTAAAATGAATGTAATTGTCATTTGAAGGTAGAGTATTTTAGCTAAGAGAATTGAGAGGTATTGTTGGTGAACTTCAGAATAAGAGAGCATTACGTTAAAGACTTTTTTTCTTACAGCCCTTGTTTGCTGGGTTGTTTTGTTTTGTTTTGTTTTTTCCTTTGTTTTTTGTCCTGTAGTTCTTGGAGCTATATTAAAGTGGCCACTGAGTACTCACTGAACAGCATTGTATGTTCCAGTGTTGCCACTTAAACATTTTCCCATATGACTGGAATTTGTCCTGGTACATAAATTTGAAAAATGAGCCTTTCTTTGGTGACTTGAATACCAACAGTTCATGAACCAAAGTTCATGAACAGATTAGTTGAGGCATAGGTATTTGTAACAACATCTGTGACAGCTTTTGTTTCCTTTTATAGGTAATAGAGTTTGATGATGGATCTGGGTCGGTTCTCAGAATACAACCACTGCGCACACCACGAGATGAAGCTATTTATGAATGCGTGGCTTCCAACAGTGTTGGCGAGATAAGTGTGTCCACAAGACTCACTGTTTTACGCGGTAAGTTATTTCTAAACATAACTAATTCACTTCATAGAGCTCAAAGCAGTACATTGTAACGCAGAGGATTCTCTCTGGCAAAGTTAAATACAGTTCTTTACAAATGGACCATATTATAGTCCCAATGCTGTTCATTATAAACTTTTTCAGATAATACTTGTCTAGAAAAAATGTCTACTGTGTTTGTGACTTTCGACCATAAAATTGTAATGTAAGTATGTAGGGTATGACAGATAAGAGTGAAGAAAAGAAGCAATAGTGAAACAGGAGTGTCACACACAACAGGTTATTATATTAAATACTACTCAAGACAACCACTTTATGAATGCATTTGATTCACATTTTAGTACTGCCCTGGGTACTTTATCTTTGTTCAATCAGCATTTACACAGAAATTTGCTCAATTAACAGTGACCTTGAAAAGTTGCATGAACAGTGTTTAGATGAGGTTAAGCTGCTGCAAAATTTCCCTCACAAGAGACAATCATAAAAAAGGCAAATGCTTCTTCCACTTCAGATATATGTCACCTGAACTGTATTACTTCAAAATGAAATTTTTGAAAACAGTAAAGGAAAAATGCAGTTTTTTCAACTCTCTCAGGGGTGAGGATATTAATGTACTGACAAGCCTACTTTCTACATAATACTCAGGGGAGAAAATACTAGTAGTCAAATGACCTGAACATTTTGTTTCGTCACCTGGAAATGAATAGACACTGGATTTGGAGACACTTCATGAAATATCATACTCTTCAGTTTGCAGGGCTAGCTTTATGACTAAAGATTACTGTCTTCTATTTTGATATTACATGGCATTACAAGGTTTGCAGAATTACTAGGTGCCTGTTTATAGGAATTGAAGATGATTAAACAGCTTTACAGAATTTAGAGGAAAATTTGTGGAATGTATAATTGCAATATGTTTTTTCTTGATCCTCTAGCCCAAGCAATATAGGGTTACAAGAAGATTACTTTTTTCCTGTTGTTCTGTGAAGTTGGATTTTTAGTAGAAAAAAACCTTACGTAATTTTATTAGCTATTTTAATAATTACGGACAGCCCTGACATTCATGTTGGAGACAACTAGCAACACTTACATGCATATATATCAAACAATAACCCTAAAGACATACATATTTCTTTTCTTATGGGAAGCTGGATGTCAGCAAACCTTTATTTAAAATTTTTACCTCTAATGCCATGATTGTTCCTTATATTATCTTTCAAAAATTCTTCCCAGTCTAACCAATGAAAACAGGAAGATTGATAGATTGATGTTCTAACATAACCATGGACCTGTCCTTAACTCCCTAAGATAAGGTTTTGTCTTTATTAATTGATAGGAGCACTTTTTATGTACAACTTCCACATTGTTGAAAATGAACAAAAAATGACATTTTTATATTCCATTAAAAGCTTTGCAGATTTTAGGGAGGTTGGGAAAACGAGCAAGGAAACGCAATAAACAGTGTGAAAACTCAGGTGGAAATAGTATTCTTTCTGTTCATCGTTTCTTGTAACGCGTTTACAAGACCACTAGTCATGAAATGCGCATGCATGTGTTTTGAAAGAACGTGCTCTGAACCAGAGTTCTCATTTTGGCTTTTGTAGAGAAACAACAGTCTTCATATCTCTCTACCAAAAAACATAGCAGTTGCAAAAGATAGAGGGGGTGTCTCAGTTTCAAAACTGACTGACTGTACAATGTGGTCTGTTTCTTTACTTATCCTGTTGATTATTAATCAAATTTTTTTAAGGCATATGTAACTTTTGTGACTATTTTTTGCTTGATGGTAAGAGCAATAATAATGGCTCAGTGCCTACTTCAGACAACACGAGTATTGCATCCTATTTTAAAAGCAATACATAATGATATGCATATACAGATGACTAATAAACAAAACATTATTTGTTATGAAATTAAAATTAAAATAAATTTCAATTTAATTTTTTTTTTTAATTAAAAACACTAAAATACAAAGTTTGAGCATTGTTTCTAACCATAATACACATGGCTTTTGCAACTGCTGGAATATATTTGCTCCAGGAGTAGATTTATGGATTTAATCTGAAATGGGGAATTTACGAGAACTCATGAACATACTGTGAGTGTGGATTTAGATAAAGGTGCAACATCAGAGAAAGCAAGGAGCCTGCAGTGAAACAGGGCATTATTAGGAAGTTTTGGTGGGATTCAAATTTTGAATTGCTAAAAGTACAATGGTTTGCTGTATTACTTCCCAAGACATAGCATAATTCAGTGCTAAGGGCATTAGCCTGGAAGATAATTCTATTATTCAAAGCCTCTGTGTTGCAACTTACACAAATCTTCATCCTGTATAGTCTGCAACAGTAGCATTGTGGAAAAACACACCATTGATGATGGCTTTTTGGGACAGAGTTCCTCTGCCTCACACAACTGCTGTAGGAATAAATATATATTGTAGATATGAACAGGAATTAGCTAGATTAAGTGAAATACAAAACAACAGAGTGAGTTTTATCTGTAGTTGCTTATGGTTTACTCATCCCTGTGGTATGTATGTGACTCTGGACTGCAGAAGATGCCTATATAACTTTCATATGTTCCTCTAACTGTTCTGCAATGGTTCTATCACAGACACAGCTTGGCACTTGTGCCTCTTGCAAGATCCCATCCAGAGGTGCAAATAAGATTTTACTCACAATTCAACCTACAAGTATGCAACCCTAATGTGATCAGTGAAATCAGGGTAGCTCCAGGAGCAGAAGTGTCTACCTACATTCATTTTGTTCGATGGCTTTTTCACCCAGCTTGACGGCCACAAATACCTTAGACAGCATGGAGCAGCAACATTTTTCCTGATATGTCCTTGTCTTTACAGCTAAAGTTGTCAGCTTTTTCTCTCAATGGCCATGTAGAGTAACTAGTTCTATGCCTTACAGATGCTACCATGTTTTGTAAGGTTCCTAATCTATGACGAATTCTTAATATTTAGGTCTCAAAGAACTATGAATAGAAAAAAATTTTTGGCTTCTAGACTTTGGAAGTTTACAGTATGAGAAGGAAAAAGGGCAGAAAAGGCATCTGCAGATGATAATATTTCAAGGTCTTACAAGAGACAAAATATTGGATGTTTTTATTGTTACTAGAGTAAATCAGGAGACATTCCAGGCTAAACTTCTACTTGTTAGGCTGAATATTGTGAGAGTCTGGACCAAGAATGAATGTCTGAGATAATTGGAAACTGCTTTTGATTTTCTGTGTTTAAAGAAGTTGGCTGCTTTCCAGGACAGATTCATCCGTATGAAAACGTTGAAATTGAAGGGAAACAAGGCTTGAAAAGAGAAGTCTGGAAGTTGCATGTCAGAGACAGGCAGACAAGAGGAGTCCATGCTATTTATTTTGGAGCTCTTTGCTTTTAAAGTTTGTACTGAGAACCGTAAGAGTGGAACAGTGCTTTGATTCTTTTATTTATCGGTGCTTAATACACATGCCATTCTAGCCAAGAATGTCAATGGTTTTCTCGGGGGCATTAGAAGGAGCACTGCCAGCAGATCAAGGGAGGTGATCCCCACCCCCCCTCTACTCAGTCCTAGTGAGGCCACATCCGGAGTTCTGTGTCCAGTTCAGATCTCCTCAGTATAAGAGAGACATGAAGCTCCTGGAGCAAGTCCAGCAAAGGTCTACAAAGATGATGCGGGGACTTGAGCATCTCTTTTGTGAGGGCTTAGGAAAAGGGTCCTGTTTAGCCTGGAAAAGAGACGACTGAGAAGGGACCTTATTAATGTCTATAAGTAACTGAAAGGAAAAGTGAAAAGCGAATGGACCAGGCTCTCCTCAGTGGCGCCAAGCAAAAGGACAAGAGGCAATAGGAAGAAAAACTGATGCAGAAGAAGTTCTGTCTGAATATGAAGGACTACTTTAGTGTAGTAGTAACTGTGCACTGCAGTAGATTGCCCAGAGAGGCTGTGGAGTCTCCCTCACTGGAGATACTCAAGAGCTGTCTGGATGCAATCCTGTGCTGTGTGCTTTGGGGTGACCTGCTTGAGCAGGAAGGCTGGATGATCCCAGTGCGGTCCCTTTCAACCCTGCCTATTCTATGATCCATGTATAATCAATAAAAAGCAATAAAGTGTAGGATCTTCCTCTACTCCCCAGACATTAGAGATGAAATAGCTTTCCTTTTACTATCCATTCATTTCACGTTAAAGCCACCTAAATCTGTTTTTAGGTCTTGAAAATGGTGGGTAATCAAACATTGTCTCTAGTTGTAGAAGAAGGGTTCTGGTGTCATATAGAAGTCAATAAATTGTTTAGGAAGGCGGAAATAGGTGCTTCCTTCTAGTAGAGAAACCAGCAGCAGTTCTATTCAGTAAATTTTCAGGACTCCTGCTTTTCACTTTTAATTTTTTTTTTTTTTATTGTTACTCCTTTATAAAGTTTAGTCAAGACCTGAGTGCATCAAGAAGGCTTAGCTTCAGCTGTTAACTAAGGTATATGAGTAAAGCACAGAAGTATGCAGGCTTTAAATAAGGATGTAGAGCACAGCATGTATTTTCTAATGTTCTCCTGTTTGCTCTGCTTTCCTTGTTGTTTCTTTGTCTGGAAAGCAAAATGTCCTGTGTCCCAACAGGACATTAATGCAGAAGGCAGTTTTTTTATCTCGACTGACAATTTTCTCTTGTTGATCATGTTGATACTCTGCATTTCAAAAGTATTGACATATAGATGGTATCAGTGTTCCACAGGCAATATGTAAACCTGAAAGAAGTAAAAATTCTGTGGTTATCCTTTTCCATATTATTAGAAACTGATCACTTCAATATCGAACATTCACTGCTGCATAAAATGAAGTTTAAAAAAATGGAAGAAATATTTACTGCACAGTGCTTCCTTATCCATTGATACACCCAGATATTGAGGTATCTATTGGTAGAGATTTTTGTGAGACTCTAAGAAGTGCACAACATTTCCACATTAAAACAAAAAACAACACCAAAACTAGACAAAAGCAACCAACCAAACTAAAAAGACCCCAAAACAATTCCAAATCAGAGGTGATAAATCAAAGGTATTAGAGTTTTTGTTTCTG